TCTTTCAGCAGATGAAAATTCAAAGAAATTTCATTTGTTTCAGATGAAAAAAATTGCCACTTGAGCATTGTCCTCATTATCTTGAATTAGAAAGTTTAGTAAGTTCATGATCTGAAGTTTTCTTTGTGTGATATATATTTTGAAGTTCCCCAAATGAAACTTCAAGTCTAATGTAGGATTTTCTCTTGCATGTTCACAAATCTATGGACACATGCCCACATAGTCACGTATGAAAGTTTCATAAAAGGAATTATTTCACTGCACAAGCTTAGAGATAGGACTCCAAGTTATGTACCCTTTGTACTACACTGTTCTTATGTGATTACACAAATCCCACCACCAAATACATGTGGTCTCCTTGAAACATAGCCACAGAAATCTTCTTTAGTTTTCTGTACAGGAGACTGTTGCTCAGCTGAGAGGTCATCCCACTGCCCTTGATCAGAGGAAAGAAGCTCCTCTCTGTTGATGGGGGAAGACACTGGAATGCTGCCTGCACAACACTGCCTCTCATTTCAAGCTGGGATTCACAATAACGACCTGATTCAATACTGCTGCTGTCCATCATCAAATATATTATTTGAGAAACTAATATCCTGTGGAATTTGCACACTTGTTTCATTGTCTGACTTGGTACCTAGTCACTGTGTCAAGTGTACAGGGGCCAGAAGCTCCTCTTTGTCTGTCACTGAAAGGAATCCACTTCCCCAAAGAATGAGGCACAGTCCAGTGTTCGATCCACATCTTGACTGCTTGGTATTTCTAGTTTAAAAAATGATGTATGCATATATATGTTTGTATATATACATACACTACAATATATGAAGCCAGACTAGAATGAAAATACATCTGTAGAAATAGAGCAATATTTGCAAAGTTAGAAAGAAATAAAAAAAAAAAGAAATTGTAGGTTCTGCTCTGATTTAATATTATTTCTTCAACGCTAAGAAAAACAGTCATAGAACCTAAACTGCAAGTGCATACAAGCCTGAATGATTACAACTTTACTTGTGGATAAAATCTAAACTCCTCTGCAAATCTTTTACAATTGCATTTAACAAAACCTAGGCTGTTCTTTAGTAATGCTAGAAATACAACCTTGAGTGATGCTCTTGGAACATAAACATTCAGTTCTCACAAGGTGACATAAGAGCAGCCTTGAAAGTAGTCTGTGACAGTGTGGCTTGAGTTTCATACCTCCATTTATACCATTTTACACAGTTTATAATATTTTATGTAATTGGTGCATGTGTATAGACACTATAGACACATAAAATTATAAAAAATACAATTTTAGTATTTCAAATATTACAAAAGAATAGTCATGTGGTTAAAAACTTTAAGTGCTGGGTTATAAGCAGATAGTGTAAATACCTAATCCAAATGTTTGGAGCTGATAATTCCAGATGCTGTTTAGCAGGAAAGTGGCTGGGTTTCCAGTAATTTTGCATATTTCTAAATATCAGAAACCACAAAACCAACAAACTAAATAGCTTGCTTTTTCATGAGAAAAACCCCACCCCATACCTCTTGACTATAGTCCTGCTCCCCAAATGCACATCCTACCATTTGAGTATGTGAATGTAAAATTTCATTGAAAATGAAACTAAAGTTTTCAATGTCTCCACTTGCCTTTTTGGTACATTTAGAGCAAATCCTTCGCCCAGTCCAGAAGCTGCGTAAGCAAAGAACCCATGTGAAGAACAGGGGGGACATGAAGAACAGTTCTTTTCATATGGATTATCAACAGTGTCTCAAGTTTATCTGCCTGACAGAATAAACTTCAATCCAATTCAGTCTTCACCCTAGCCCAAAATGATAATTTCCTCTAACGGGAACAAAGGCTTGAGGATCTCCCTAGCAGAAAATCATCTCATACTGGTCCTGATTGAGATCCACCCACCGTGCCTTGCAAAAAAATTAGTCTACATGAGACTTGGTCATACAGTCTCAGGGAGAGTCAGATCTTGTTTTCTGCTCAACCATACCAACAATGGAGTTGTTCTGTGGCACAAGAGGAAAGAGAGAAAACTTCACATAGAGGCAGCAATACTGAAAATGTTAGGCTTCTTTCCAACCTAATGAACTGTTGGTATCTCTAGCCTCTGGACCTCTTGATAGAAGACATATTTCAAATCAAGGTCCACACCAAACCCAGGAACTCGAACCATGTTTAAACTCTGAGATACTTTATCTCTACAACTACTGAACTTCTTTTTTCTCCCCCAAGTGGTAGATTGGTTTGTGACTCTTAAACACTACAGTGATGTGCGTCACATAAAACCATAAATAGGTACAAAATTAGGTAACCAGAACTAACACTTAGCATAAAAAAAAGTCCTGGAGTTATTTGTCTCCACATCTCCGCAACACCTCCTTTGCAATTTCATACACTTGAACATCTGTGGTTTTCTTTAGCTAAGGAATAAATTCCACCCAGATTATATAAAATTGTCTTTATAAAAAGATCTTCATGTAATGCATCCAAGTAGGGACACCATATGGTATTCTGGGCCTGGTCAGAATGTCCATCATGAACAAAGCATTATTCTGGCTCCTGAATATTTTTCCACATTAGCATTTACTCAATATTCTAGGTAAAAATGATATAATACACCTGGAACATACTAAGAATGAAAGATTATACCTTTCTTGTATCACATATGGCAACAACTTTGTAAGTAAAGCAATCATAATTCTTCATTTGAGTTCTCCACCATCATGCTAAACTACATGCACTGAAGTACAAACTCTTATGACTTTCTTTTTCTTTCACATGTACATCAACATGGATATAAAAATACACATAGTTCCTGCAAAGCAGCCTACAACAATAGGTCCAAACAAAAACATTGGTAATGCCTGTTTCTGCAATCATTATTTAATCCTTTTCTACTCAGTAAAACCAACTGCTGGTGAGAATTTGCTTTATGCATCATGTGAAAACTGGGCTTCAAACACCTGCACTTTATTAGAACCAAGTGTTTTTCAAATTATTACAATGTTCTGGATGATGTATGTAAATGGAAATAAACTAAGGTGAAAAGCTGAGTAATAAATCAAGAAAACTCAGTCATTCAATAGTGTAGGCCAAGGAAATCTCACTCAGACAATCCATGGGGAAGCTGATGAAGTTCCACCTGTACAAATTATTTTACACTGTGCTTGTACAGTAGAGTCATCAAAGTGGTGGTAATATCAGGAATATCTTCTATTAGAGTAAGAGCCTTACTTTACATTTCTACATGGATTTGTAGAGCTAAGATTGCTAACCATGACAAACCATAACCACTTAAGATTGCTAACAATGACAAAAGAAGTAGCTGGTTCTATAGTTTTAGAAAATGGGCACTGGAGGCACAGAAACCATGAGGAATGAAAAAGGGCTATTAAAACAAAGCCTGTTCATGATCTTGTCAGAGTTGTTTCTGTTTGTACCACAGAAATGTTTTAATAGGCTAAAAAATGGCTAAAAATATTAACTATCAAATCCAGTGAAAGCAATCTGGTGTTGGAACTTAGGAAGTGTGCAGAGGTGCTGCACAGAGGAGAGTGTGCAGGACACAGATGGATGGGAAAGGGATCTTCCTTACTGGGTGAAGTGCTAGGTGGAACCCTCTTTACACTTTGAGGTAAGACTGGCTAACACCACCTATGTCAGGACACACTCAGATGCTATATAAAGGTATTATCATCCTCTCTTCAGTGGAACCCCCTGCATGTAGGATTTGGCTTTATACATGTCCCTTCTCAGTGCACTCACTTGTCTCTACCAAATTTCAGACATAAAAGGCACTTTGACAACTAAAACTTGAAGAGCTCAGAGTAAAAAATTATCCCTGCCTTAACAAATTGAAGCAATAACAAGACTTTAAGTCAAACAAGCAAAGGGTTAATCCCCTCACTTTCAGAAGAACCAAGTACCAGAGTTTTGACCTTATGTTCCAAGTGACCAGATTTCATTTTCAGCACAAATTCCTAACTCCAGTTGAGGCATCAATTTCAACCAGAGCTCATAATATTGCCTTATAGCAACACAGGAAACTTGAAACTTTGCAACTCCATAATTTTCTGTTTGAAGTAGTGATGACAATAATTGGAATGTTCTGAACCTAAATAGGGCTGACATCACAGATCCATGGAATGGGACCATATGGAAGTTTATACCTGTTGTATTTCATATGAACTCTGTGTTAATGACAGGAACCTATACAGGCACTATTGAGTAGAGTAGGGAGAGCAGCAGAGAAACTGTCATTAACTGGCTGATGTTACAGTCCACAGGTTTCTATATGTAGCAGTAAACACTTATTACAATCAGGCAAATATAACTTACTTTCCTTATCACTTTGAAGCAATAAAAATGTCTTGAGAAAACCAATAAATTATTTAAAGCAAAATCTTCAACCTCTCTTAGCCAAAATGCATATTTAAAATCTGGCTAATTGCTCATATCTACTGAAATGTGAAAACAGACTTATTTGTATTCAAATAATAAAGCAACTTCAATGTTTCTAAAGATCCAGTCATTGTAAGTGATATGAAGATTGATTAATTGATATCAACAACTCGAGCAAGACAATACTATTAACTACTGGAGAAAAATACAGCTTCATTCATCTACAAAATTTCCTCTAGAAAATGAGACTGCAAAATGAAGCAATTTTGCTCCTATTACCCATGCTCACTGTCTCCACTTGTTCTCTTTAGGGATTTCAAACAACCATTTTCCTAGCTGGATAATAAAAGCATAATATATTTCAATCACAGTAAAATATGTTTGTAAAGAACATATCAAACACTTATTACCAGAGCTCTCACATATACACTTATTAAATTCATATAATTCAGGAAAACTACTTTTAAGTTTGTACACCATAAGTGGTAGATAAAGTTTGCTTGTGACTGCTACAAGGACTAATCCATAAGCTTCTCTGGCATCACAGTTCAAGTCCACCTCTAGGAGTTTGGGGACTCACTGCCTTTTTCAGGAATGCTTTGCTTCGAGACAAACAGGTCTCACTGCCTTTTTCAGGAATGCTTTGCATCGAGACGAACAGGCATAAACTGCATTGATATGCTGAAAAGTAACAAGAGAGGCCTTGCAAATATACATTATTGTTTGGGGCTCGAATGTGCAGAAAGGTTTACTAAGTAGCAAGAGTTAAACCTTTTTATCCCTAATTCTTCCACTGTTAACTCTCACAAGTGTTTTGCCAACAGCATTTTTATTTCTAAGTACTTTACTAGATGATATTTAAACCCCTTGGTAGGTTACTTTTTCTTGTTTATCCATACATACATTTTTACAATCACATGCAGTTAGTGCAGATATCACTCTTAAATAGTAATGGTTGTTTCTCATCATTCAGAGTCCCTAAATGTTCATAAACAAAATCTGTAACCACTTGGAAATTCCGGTCCCACACTATCATTTTTAAAAGCAGGAGCAATGTCACAGCTAAAATATTGGATGTGAGGAGTGTTTATCATTGTGACTATATGAGACTGCAAGGAAGCTACTGTAAATAATCCTAAACTGACTGAATTCTTTTCTTTCTGCCAGCGGGTTTTTTTTTTAAGCTGATTACTTTCAAGTAACAATGCAAGGGTAAAATCCTGCAAATGTATATATATGGCTTTACATCCAAACTTTTAGAATGGGTTTAGTGTTTTCTTTATTTGAACAAATATCTAGCTAGCATACCCAACTATTTAAATGTTGTTCATGTCACATACAGAGGCATCGGTAGCTTCACAGTTAAGGCAATGTTGGCAGAAATCCATTTCTAATGAGTAACATATCTTCTAAAAATTCCACAATAATTTTCTTTCAAAGCCAATAGACTTTTTTTTTTTTCAATTATTGCTATTCATATATCTCTTTGCTTTGATTGTATCAATATACTGCCAATATCTTCGTGCCCTCTTTAAAGAGCATAGTCTTTTTGAACCAACAGGGATGCTGGACACGAGAGCTAAGTTTCCTTGCGTTGAAACCAAGTCGGAAGTGCTGGAGGTGTGGGAATTCTTCCAGGCACCCTATGGCCATTTTTTTTTTTTTTGCTTGTAAGCGCTATTCCTCATCCTCCTGCAAGTATTGGTGCCAAAACATTTTCAACTTCAAAATCCAAACATTTCAGGCATGACTTTCAGATATCTCATGTTTGCATAAAAGGTGACAGTATCATTGAATTAGAAGTGTTGGGGGGGAAAGGTGGTGGGTGGCGGTGTGAAAGATAATCGTGAACACAGTGGGCTCACTTTTACAGACAAGAAACATCCTAAGTGTGAACGCTTAATTTATTATTTCTGCGTTTCAAGTGGGAATATGCTTCAGCAACTCAGATCGTGCAAGTGGGAATGACAGCTCCTGAATGTATGCAAATTCCTCATATCAAAGGGTAATTTAAAAAAAAGGCTTTAAGTGGCAGGATGCCTAATGAAGTTCAGATGGCGGGTACGCCACCCTGACTTTATTGAGCTCAAACTGCAGGTTTTTTCCTCGGGAGCAGAGTATGGCCGGGAATCAAAGCATCACATTAGCTGTAACCTTAGCTAGTGGAGACCTGAACTCATACAGAAACTTATTAACCAGTTTCCCCAGCAAACCACCTTAAAACATCCGCGCGTGAAAAGCAGGCAGGTCCCCAGCTCCCTGTGCGCCCTGCAGCGCTAAAAACCGAGAGGACATCCATCCCCGGTGATTCTTAGCCGTGTCATTTACGGACACCAAACTTCAGGAGCGCAGCACACCAACACCTGCGAGCCCCAGCGAGGCACAGCCCGCAGCGCCCGGCCCGGGCGGAGAGCTGCTCCTCCCGGGGGGAGCAGGGAGAGGATCGGGAGCATCCCGGGGAGGTACCGGGAGGTACCGCTCCCTGCGGGCGCTGCGGGCAGCAGGGAGAGGATCGGGAGCATCCTGGGGAGGTACAGCTCCCTGCGGGCGGCAGGGACAGGGACGGGAGCATCCCGGGGAGGTACCGGGAGGTACCGGCGCTGCGGGCAGCAGGGAGAGGATCGGGAGCATCCCGGGGAGGGAGCGCT